GAGTGTATCAGTCTGTAGTGGAAGGAAGGCGGGGTAGGGGTCGGCCTAGGAAGGTTGGAGAGAGGGGGTAAAGGAGGTTTTGTGTGCGAGGGGCTTGGACTTCCAGCAGGCATGCGTGAGCGTGTTTGATAGGAGTGAATGGAGACAAATGGTTTTTAATACTTGACGCGCTGTTGGAGTGTGAGCAAAGTAACATTTATGAAGGGATTCAGGGAAACCGGCAGGCCGGACTTGAGTCCTGGGGATGGGAAGTACAGTGCCTGCACTCTGAAGGAGGGGTGTTAATGTTGCAGTTTAAAAACTGTAGTGTAAAGCACCCTTCTGGCAAGACAGTGATGGAGTGAATGATGGTGAAAGTTTTTCTTTTTCGGGCCACCCTGCCTTGGTGGGAATCGGCCAGTGTGATAATAAAAAAAATGAATATTTCCTTTGGTTTATTTATATAAATTAGATCCATTTATAATTAATAAAATTTGGGAAGAATTTAATAATACACTGGACAAATAAATTTTTTTTTTAAATTTTCTTGGGTAGAATAGTTTGTTGGTGGTTGTGCAAAGGACCTGTCCAGTTGGGCCGGCGCGCGTCAGGTGTTTAACCGTTGTGGGATCTGATAGTGAGGTGCTGGCCTGACCCCCTTATATACCTTCCTTGGATGCTTTACTTTCATAGTTCCTTGATAATGTGAGTAGTCACGAAAGCGCTTGGAATTTCTCTATTCTTTCAGAGTGGTTGTTTTGCATATATATATATATATATATATATTATTGTAACCACGAACGAATGGTATCAAGGTAAGACACCTAACTCTGCTGGGTGCTTGATTCTTGTAGGATTGCGTTGTCCTGTGGGTTAGAGCGTTATGTTATTTTCGCTCACCATGAGGCGGGCCAAAACGACATGGGTTCGAATCCTCGTAGTCCCAGTGTTATTGATTTATATATATATATATATATATATATATATATATATTATAATATTATATATATTATATAATATATATTATATATATTATTAGAAATAAGGTATAATGTTTCCGTAGAGTTATATTCTTATAATTTCTGGTCCCCTTGTATGTAGCAGTGACAGGTCAGTGGTCAAATATTGACTATAACATAAAATTGAACATATAGGCCATACAGTATGAGACAGAGAGGGAAGGAAGGAATAGTCTGTGTGTGAGTGTGACTGATTTTGAAGATTGTTTTACACTCAGTCTGGTCAAGCAGCAATGTCTATGGTCGTGCTGCAATATTTCCGTTGTCCTGTGATAGTAGCAGAGGTTTTATAGTAGAGGAGCACGCATGTTGACACGGTGTTCTCTAGAGACTTTTAAAACCTTTTAAACCAATGCCATGAGAAGTTTTCTGAAATTCTCTTTAGTTCTTCGGAAGATATTTATGTTCAGTCTTCAACAGATATTAAAAAAAATGACCTGAATTTAAAATATTGACAAGTTTTTAAAATTGTTTGGTCTGGTGCATGTCCTTTCATAGCAGCATAACTTGTGCCAGTTTCACGATACAGATAGGAGAAAAATGCCTTAAAATACAAGTAATTCTAGAGAATTTTTAGACTCGCAAAAATGTTCGTTGCGCAGCTAAACAAAGTAGTGATACACAGGTGTTATTTTATTGGTTATAAATTCACAGACACACAGACACACACAAACAGACACACAGACACACAACACACACACACACACACACACAGACACACATACACACAGACAGACACCAACAGACACACAAACAGACACACAGACACACACACAGACACACAGACACACAGACACACAGACACACAGAGACAGACACACAGACACAGACACACAGACACACAGACACACAGACACACAGACACCAAGACACACACAAAACACACACACACACACACACACACACACACACACACACACACACACACACACACACACACACGAAGAATTCCCTGCACGAGGTTCAGTGGGACAGAGCACTGACAGAGAAGTCAGTAAATGAGATGATGGAATATGTGACAACAGTATGCACGGAAATTCCCTAGGATAACAGAAATAACGAGAAAGGCAGGATGAGCCCTTGGTTCACTCAAAGGTGTAGAGAGGCCAAAACCAAGTGTGCTACAGAATGGAAGGAGTATAAAAGGCAGTCGTAGAGCCATAAATGAATATGCACAGGTAAGAAGGGAGGCCCAACGACAATACGAAAATGACATAGCAGCGGAAGCCAAATCTGACCCAAAGCTGAGGAAGGAAGGAGGGGAGATGACAAGAAACGACCGCGAAGTATATGAGGAGCTCAACATGAGAATCAAAGAAGTGTTTACAGAGGAGACAGAAGGGACTCCAGAAAGACGGAGAGGTTGGGTACACAAAGTCTCGGACACAATACATACAACCGAGGAAGAAGTGAAGAGGCTGCTAAACGAGTTAGATATCTCAAAGGCGATGGGGCAGGTTAACATCTCTTAATGGGTCCTGAGAGTGGGAGCAGAGGCACTATGTGTACCACTAACAACAATCTTTAACACATCTATAGATGCAGGGCGACTACCTGAGGTATGGAAGACAGCAGACGTAGTCAAAATTTTTTAAAGGGGAGACAGACAGGAAGATTTAAACTACAGACCAGTGTCACTGACATGTATAATTTGCAAAGTCATGGAGAAGATTATCAGAAGAGTGATGGAGCATCTAGAAAGGAATGAACTTATCACCGGCAACCAGCGCGGTTTCATGGACGGGAAACCCTGTGTCACAAATCTACTGGAGTTCTATGACAGGGTAAGACAAGTGAGGGTGGGTAGCTTGCGCTTTCTTGGACTGTAAGAAGGCGTTTGACATAGTTCCACACAAGAGATTAGTGCAAAAGCTGGAGGACCAGGCAGGGATAATAGGAAAGGTACTGCAGTGGATCAGGGAATACATGTCAGTAAGACAACGAGTGGTGGTACATGGCGAGGTGTCAGCGTGGGCGTCTGTGACGAGCGGGGTTCCACTGGGGTCAGTCCTAGGACCGGTGCTGCTTCTGGTATTTGTGAACAACATTACGGAAGGAATAGACTCAGAAGTGTCCCTGTTTGCAGATTATATGAAGTTGATGAGAAGAATTCGATCGGACGAGGAGCAGGCAGAACTACAATGGGATCTTGACAGGCTGCAGACCTGGTCCAACAACTAGCTCCTGGAGTTCAACCTCACCAAGTGCAAAGTCATGAAGATTGGGGAAGGGCAAAGAAGACCACAGACGGATTACAATCTAGGGGGCCAGAGACTACAGTCCTCACTCAAGGAAAAGGATCTTCGGGTGAGTATAACACCGGGCACATCAGAGGCGCGCATGAACCAAATAGCTGCTGCAGCATACTGGCGCCTAGCCAGTATGCTGCAGCATACTGGCGTCTAGCAAACCTAAACTAACATTCCGACATCTCAGTAAGGTATCGTTCAGGACCCTGTACACCGTGTACGTTAGGCCCATATTGGAGTATGCGGCACCAGTTTGGAATCCACACCTAGCCAAGCACGTAAGGAAGCTAGAGAAAGTGCAAAGATTTGCAACAAGACTAGTCCCGGAGCTAGGGGGCATGTCCTACGAGGAGAGGTTAAGGGAAATCGACCTGACGACACTGAAGGACAGGAGAGATAGGGGGGATATGATAAACTTCATATAAAATATTGAGAGGAATCGACAAGGTGGACAGAGACAGGATGTTCCAGAGATGGGACACAGCAACAAAGGGTCACAGTTGGAAGTTGAAGACTCAGATGAATCACAGGGATGTTAGGAAGTATTTCTTCAGTTGCAGAGTGTCAGGAAGTGGAATAGTCTGGGAAGTGATGTAGTGGAGGCAGGATTTATACATAGCTTTAAGAAGAGGTATGATAAAGCTCATGGAGCAGAAAGAGTGACTTAGTAGCGACCAGTGAAGAGGCGGGGCCAGGATCTGTGACTCGACCTCTGCAACCACAACTAGGTGAGCACAACTAAGTGAGGTGAGTACACACACACACGACGATAATAATAATAATATCTATTTCTTCAAGTACATGTACAAGGTATACAGTCCTAGCTGACATCAGTGACATACTACTATATGGAAAGCCACTTGTTATGCTGAACATTTCGGGCAAATTAGGTCAGTTTTGTCCCAGGATGCGACCCACACCAGTCGACTAGCAACGAGGTACCCATTTTATACTGATGGGTGAACATGGACAACAGGTGTGTTTAGGAAACACGTCCTAATGTTTTCCAGCCGTACCGGGGATTCGATCTATGGACCTCAGTGTGTGAGCTGAGTACGCTAGTGGTCAAGTTACGGGACACCTAATGGCAGTGGTAATGGCCACATACGCACGTATATGTACACGCACAAGTATGCACATGCACAAGTATACATACATAAATCATTACTTATCAGTATACATTTCCTAACCTATACATATTCAAGTTAACAGACATGTATACATAAATATACCAGAGCATATATCTACACATACACAAATTTAACATTAATACTAAAGAATATTTTTAATTCTTCAGGGGAAACTGATGCATTTTTGTAATTCTTCATAGAATTCTGGGGTATATTTTATTTTTCAAGAGATAGTGGTATATATTTTTATTATTTTTCAGGAGATACTGATATATTTTCTTAATTCATGGCATACTAAATGTATTTTCATGATTCTACCGAGAAAACTGATGTATTTTCTTAATTCTTCAGGAGATACTGATATATTGTCTTAATTCTTTAGGGATACTGATGTATTTTCTTAATTCTTCAGTGGATCCTGATATATTGTCTTAATTCTTTAGGGATACTGATGTATTTTCTTAGTTCTTCAGCGGATACTGATGTATTTTCTTAGCTCTTCGTGAGACACTAATGTATTTTCTTAATTCTTCAGGGGAAACTGATGTATTAATTTTTCAAGGGATGCTGATATAATTTCTTAATTCTTTAGGGGATACTGAGGTAGTTTTTGTGTCTTTCAGGTTGTTGCCTAAAGCATGGTGGCTCGCCTGTGTCTGCTGGAGTCACTGCTCACTGCTGCTGACACCGTCACTGCTAGTCACTGTGTGTCACGCACCACTGGTCTTCATCACTGCTGAGGTTAGTAACACTCTTAGTTATGTATCTCTGCTAGATTACTGGGGTCACCCCCCTCCCCTCAGCCGGGTCCCAGACCAGGTCACCCCCTCCCCTCAGCCGGGTCCCAGACCAAGTCACCCCTCTTTCCTCAGCCTAGTCCCAGACCAGGTCACCCCCCTTCCTGCAGAATGGTCCCAGACCAGGTCACCCTTCTTCCCACAGCCCGGTCCCAGACCAGGTCACCCCCTTCCCTCAGCCTGGTCCCATACCAAGTGACTTCCTCCCTCAGCCTGGTCCCAGACCAGGTCACCCTTCCCGCAGCCCGGTCCTAGACCAGGTCACCCTCCTTGCAGCCCGGTCCCAGACCAGGTCACCCTCCTTACCGCAGCCCGGTCCCAGACCAGGCCACCCCCTTCCCTCAGCCTGGTCCCATACCAGGTCACTCCCTCAGCCTGTTCCAGACCAGATCACTCCTTCCCTCTTCCTGGTCCCAGACCAGGCCACTGCTTCCCTCGGCCCGATCCCAGAGCAGACCTCTTGCTTGTTAACCTCGTGTTGTGCTAGAGTGCCTGGCACTGCTTCACAAGACACTTGTGCTCAGTTTTGACAGACTTGGAACAGTTGAACCACAGCTGCAAAGATTATTTACGGTCCACATAGTGCCAATAAATCATATAAATTACTGGGAACGCCCTAAAGTCTTAAATATGTACTCACTGCAGCAGAAGAGAGAGGAGAGATATACGAGATAAAATATATAGGGACAGTACTTGAGTGCCTTGTCCCAAACCTGCACACTGCCCTGTCAACATACTGGAGTGAGAGATATGGGAGGAAGTGCAAAATAAGCCCAGTGAAAAGCAGGGGTGCCGTGGGCACAATAAAAGACCATTGTATCAACATCCGTGGCCCTACACTACTCAGCATCTTACCAGAAGATATCAGAAACACTGCTGAGACAAGTGTAGAAGTCTTCAAAAGGAAACTGGACAAGTATCTTCATCAAGTGCCAGATCAGTCAGGCTGTGATGGACACCAGGGCCAGCGGGCCACCAGAAGCAGCCTGGTTGACCGGGCAAGCATCAGACAAGCAAGCCTGGCCCAAGGCCGCGTTCCGGAAGTAGAACAGCTTTGGAAATGCATCAGAGGTGTATCAGAGACTTGGAACACTTGTGTGTCAGTTCTCTCAGGGTATTATATTTATCATGACTCCAAAAGTACTTGAAATAGAAGCAGTGTTCATTGCAGCAATTACTGTCATTATCATCGTCATAATCATTGTCATAGTGAAGCGTTAAAGACTGTAGGTGCTATACAGGTTCATACTGACCAGGATCAGTGGTGTGTAGGTGCGGTACAGATACACACTGATCTCTGGTTTCTGATCCAACTGAGAATGCTTCAGTTTAGTCTGCTGTGTGAAGAATAAGACACCTGCAACATCTTTGGATCTCTGTTTGTAGACGTTTCGCCATCCATTAGCTTTATCAATACAAATTCAAGGATATAATGGGAAGACACTAAAACTATATACAAAAGATGAGGTAATCAGTCCCTCAACCTTGAAGATGGTGAAGAGTGACGGAGTATTAAAGACTAAAAGACTACGGTGCTCTTCACCAACTCCAAGACTCAGGGATTGATTACCGCATTTTTAGTATACAGTTCTAATGTCTTCCCATTATATCCTTGAATTTGTGTTGATAAAGTCACTGGATGGCGAAACGTCTAGAAATAAAGATACCCAGACGTTGCACAGGTGTCTAATTCTTCATCTGGTCGTCATTGTATACCATTCACGCAACAGTCTCCTGTGGGTACATATATTAGCACAGTGGCGGCCTGCTGGTTCCAGGTCTGCCTCGTTGTGGGGTTTCAATTCTACCTGTTTCGTGAGTTAAACCAGAGTGTACTGCAACTAATACAGAAACACTGATACGTAAGACGCTTGTGCAGCACTTTGATGTCTTTATTGTCGAAACGTTTCGCCTGCCTAGTGGCTTTTTCAGTCGGAAACAGGAGACAATACAGATACCTAAGTGTTGCACAGTACCTAAGTGTTCCATATGTGTGTTGCTCCTCAGTCTTACGCTGTGGTACACTATAATATACAAGAATAATAGAATACAGCAGAGGAGAGGAAAAGTGATGTCGACGTTTCGGTCCTATTTGGACCATTGACAAGTCATACTGAAGCAAGAAGGGAAAGAAGCCAGGATATATAGGAGAGGGAGCGGAGGAAGAAGGAAGAGGTAATGATCATGGAAATAGAGCTTTAACATGCCTTTGATAAAGCTCTGCGTAGGGCGAAACGTTGTCTCAACAACAGCTGTTAAGTGTATTTTCTTCACTGTTCCCCCAGTGAAAGTTTTATCTCTACCCTGTACCTTCATGTCATTATCAGAAACGTCTGATAATGTTACAACAAACCCGCATGGATTAAACCAAACGGAAAGTAAGATTAGTGTATATTTCGACCTCCCTCGAGGCCCTCTTCAGCAGAGTGATGAAGAGGTCCTGCTCTGTGGCTCACCGTCAAGGCAGGTAGGCACCGTGATGTGGGGGGGGGGTGTAAGTTCTTATATCAATACTTGTGACTTCTCATTTTAAAGACGCTATGTGACCCCTATGGGTTTAGCTCTTTCCAATAATAATAATATTAATAACAATAGTTAAAATAGCTATGCCGTGCTGAATGGTTATAAACAGCCCAGGAATAGTTTTAGGCGTTTAAGCCCAGCAAGCCAGCTTTAAAACTAACAAACTAGCTCTAAAACTAACAAGTCAAATCTAATACTATCAAACCAAGTCTGAAATTAACAAACCAGGTGTAAAACTAACAAACCAGAGCTACTGGCCACTGTTCAGGTCATTCCACCTCCTGACCATCCTCAGACTGTCTCCTTGTATATTCACTTCATTGTGTGTTGTGTGTGAACTTTTATGTTATATACAGATGGATTTAATAACCTACGTGCTATGCATAGGTCTGTGTCCTAATAGGCCTGAGACCTAACAGACGATACATCGTGCATGGTGTGTGCATCTGCGAGTGTTCTGTTCTCTAATGTTGTCAGGTTTAGTTCCTTTAATCTCTCATCACAACGTCTGCCTCTTGGCCCTGGGATCAGTCTCGTCAACCTCTGCACCTGATATGCTTAACCAGGTGTGGGTTTCACACTGGTGCTGCATACTCGACGCTGGGTCTGACATATTCTGTACAGTGTTGGTGATTGTATGGTTGCTGTGTGTGGGTAACACTGCGAGTCACTGATGGTTATTACTTATTAATGACCCCAGGTATTAGCAGCTTCTCCATAATACCTTCATTAGGTATGCTATGATACTTCACTGGTTGTTGCTCTTGAGAACAAGATCGCAGCTTCTAGTAAAATGATATAAAATATACCAACATTATGGAAAAAAGAGACACGAATGCAGTATAACTGACAGCGTTTCGCCCGCACAGTGGGCTTATCAAGTCACAAGTGACTTGATAAAGCCCACTGTGTGAGTGAAACGTTATCAATTAAGGATCATATTATACTGTATTTTGTCACTTTTTCCCAGACAGCAGCAGCCGGTCCAGGGCTGCAGAATATCGTGTCACTGAATAAATTCTCGTCAATATTACCCTGCAGTTCTTAAGTAACGAAACACACAACATGCATTCCAGTTTGTTCACGAGCGCTAATAACTTCCTGGCGTTAGTTGTAGAACTGAACACCACGCGCGCACACCCACGCGCACACACCGCGCGCACACACACACACACACACACACACACACACACACACACACACACACACACACACACACACACACACACACACACACACCTACACACCTACTTGTGTATATTCAGCGCCCTTATGGTCGAGGGTCACCCTTGAATAACTGGAGATAATTATATTCTCATGTTAATGTATGAGAGACGTTTTGGTTGCGTGGTGTGGAGTACCTGTGTGTTCTTGAGTTCAAGCAAAATATAATCACGAGAATGATACATCTTCACACACTGGTTATTAACCTACTGAGGGTTTTTTCCTTCCCTGCCTCCCCCAGGGGATCCTTTAAAAACTACAGACAACAGGTTCTGAGAACTGGCAGGTTCTCAGAACCTGTTGTCTACAGTTGGGTATTTTCTGTGGAAACGTTTAGCCAACCCGTGGCTTGCTCTGTCTAGTACAGACAAGAATGGTTGGACTCGCGAAATCGTAATGACACGATTGCAAACAAACCATTGAAGCTAGCTGTCGCAGTGTCTAACGCGACGGTCTGGAGTTTTGAGACTCTCTGACCACGGGTTCAAACCCCGCCCGTGGTATGGTAAGACTGGTTGGAGATCCGAAGGAGTTTGAGGTAATCAGTCCCTCAGCCTGGAGTCGATGTGATGAGTCCATCAGCCTTTTCAAGACTGATAATGATTGATGTGACGAGTCCATCAATCTTTTAAAGACTGATAAACTCACCACAGCGACTCCAGGCTAAGGGACTGATTACCCCAAACCCCTGATCTCTGGAAGAGAAGGCACTGGTTAGCGAAACGTTTTTGCAAAAAAGTGTTGCACCAGCGTCTAATTCAAGTGTTGCACAAGCGTCTAATTCAAGTGTTGCACAAGCGTCTAATTCAAGTGTTGCACAAGCGTCTAATTCAAGTGTTGCACAAGCGTCTAATTCAATTATGTCCAAGAGCATCAGCCTACGGATGATGCTCTTGGACATAACTAAAATGTAATGAACACTCGTCATTATTCAGTAACAACCCAGACGGAGAGAGAAACATAGAAGGTTGACTGATCTGTATATTTCAACCTCCTTTTGGGATCATCTTCACTGTTACTGATTAATGACCTTAAGATCCAGTAAGATTAGCTAGGTCTTCTGTCTTTATTAATACAACGTATAATTAAAGAGGGCCAGAAGAATGGTCTGTCTTGTAGACAGAACATTCTCTCCTCTCCTTCACCACCCACAACAAGAGGCGATGGACTACCCCTTTCAGCCTCTCTTCTGACCTG